TATCAACAGAAGTTTGAGAACAAAAAGAAGAAACAAAACACTTCCAAGGAAAAAGTGGAAGAGATAGTACAGGCGTCCCTCTGTTTTCATGGACTTTGAGTCCGTGGTCTTGCCCATTCGCAGGTGGGGAGGGACACAATGGACAAAATGGGGTGCATGCAGGCATATGCCACCATTCAAGCCAATGGGGCTTGAATATTGGTGATTTTCCATTTTTACGAGCGGGGGGTCTGGAACGGATCCCCGCGAAAACGGAGGGGCGACTGTATTACCAGCAACAGTCAGACACAGATCAAACAAGCTAGATAGGGGAGGAACTGAAGTCAGTTTTAAGAAGAGTAAACTTGAAGAAAGCAGAAAAATGTCTTCAGTATGCAATAGATGATGTTCAATATCAAAGTGTAAGAGAGCACCATTTTATTTATATATTAGCAGGCAAAAAAGGAAGCTGAAAAGAAATACTGCTGCTTAGAGATAAAGCTGATAAAGGGGTACTAAAAGTTCAGTTGAAATTAAAATTAAAACTAGAATGAAATAATTAGCCAACAGAAAGACAAGTCAAGATACTGAAAAAAACCAGTTCATTCCTGAAAGGAACAGAAACTGGAGAGTTAAATGAAGAAGTAGAATTCAAGAGAACAGCTGAGGGATGCCAGAATCCTGCAAGATCAGCTCTTGCATGCAAAGCAATTGGACATAATTTTAGATGTGTGCACACAAAAGCAATGTTTTATTTAAAGGACCCACACACCCTTCCATTAAAAGCAATGTACAATCTCAAGAACTGACTCATCTGGCAAACTTTGGATGACATCAACATCAGTTTATAAGACCCATTCTTTCAACTCAAATGTGGTTGAACACTATCAGAGTTCGTTGTAGGGCTTTCACGCACATGATAGTGATATGCCTTGTGCTGTTACAAGTACAAACATTGAGTACTTCCAAACCTGGGAGAATCTTTTCAGGAAGGAGGGACTGAAAAAAAGGAGGAAGGGGGAGCTCAGTTTCCACCAGCACTGTTACATGACCTTTACTGGGATTTAATCCAATAAAAATATGCCATAAACTGATTATGGCAAAAAAAATTATTAAACTAGGGGAGGCCCCTCTGATTTGTGGCCTAACTTATCTTGCAAGTAGTTCCAACCTGACCACAAAAAGTCTTGCTATGCCTCTCCTTCACAGCCTACCCTGGGGATTTGTCATGCAGGTGTGCTCCCAAATAAGAACATATTCTCCATTATTCTGATCTGATCTGAGAGGTAAGGTAACAGCAGCTAATCGTCATGCCTTTCCCCAGTTGCAAATGCCTCCTGTTATTTCTAAAACTGGTGGGAACCACGGGGGGCTTTTACCACTGCTAGAAGCTAAGCAAAGCTTCGGAGATGGTCCTGCAAACAGTGCTTGGCTGTGCTCATGGCTTTCATCCCTCCCCACCTTTCTTGGCAGAAGGATGGAAGGGATGAAGCAGAGCCCTATCCCTGGTTTCAGTGCCAGTTGGAAGCTGCAGCTGGTTCTGTGTCCAGAATATCTGCAATGTCAGGGGTGTGTAATACTCATGAGGTTGGGCCAGACCCTTGACAACATCCTGTTTCTACAAGGTTTGAGAAGTGGGGAGCTACTCTGGGACCCCGATCCTTCCTGAATTAGTGCCCAATGATTAATATTCTAGCCTATGCTCAGCACAGTTTCAAAGCAAGGTGAGAGGAACAATATGAAATTCTAAAGCAGAGGCTGAGCATTCTATATAGCCTGGAAGGCCGCACAAGCCATTTCTGGCTCTAGGAGCTGCAGCCAGGATGTCACAGCTGCCACTCTGGTGACCATAATTGACACTATGAATACTTGAATCAGCCATATTTATTGTTTAATGCCATATGATAGTGGCCAGATTTTAAACAGGAGATATTGGGGGCGTGGGGAGGGTCTGTGGGGATGTCCAGAATCGCATGCGATCCTTCTGAAGATACAATCCATGGACTACACTATTCTCACCCCTGTTCTAAATAATTAATACAACAATTTTCAATACACCAACATCCAAGATTTGATTCAAAGTGAGCAGAAAATTAATTTCTGCAAGGCAAAGCAGATGCCAAATCTCAATGCAAACTATAGTGCAGGATGGAGGTCACAGCTCTATTACTTCCAAATTTATTAAACCCTGACTTATCCAAAAAGTTTCCCAGCCCTTTGGGTTTATCTACACTATAGAAATAATGCAGGCTGACACCACTTTAAGTGCCGTATCTCTATCCCATCATGGGATTTCTAGTTTCACAAGGTCATTATCCTTCTCTGCCAAAGAGTGCTGGTGCCTCACAAAACTACAAATTCCAGGATTCTGCAGGATGGAGCTATGGCAATTAAAATGGTATCAAACTGCATTACTTCTAGAGTGTAGATGTACCCTTTTTCTCTGAAAAAAATCTTTCTGTAATAGCAATGTACTAGCCACTTTCTAAACCAGGTAAATAGCCCTAGTCCTCTCATGTTTTTGGCTTACAACTCCCATCAGCATTAGACATCATAGCCAATGGTTAGGGCTGTGAGAGTTAGTCCAAAAACATGTGAAGGGCGACAAGTTGCCCACCCATTCTACAGTTAAGGAATACTAAATTGTTCTGAATTATCCAGGTTTGTCTTTGTTAACCAAACAGCTAGGCAACTGAATGAGCCAAGCATTTCAACTGAGAGGTGTGCATAACAATCCGTTCTCAGAACATCTCTGCTAAAAAAGTATTAGAGGAGCATGATAAAATGACTGGCCACTATTTAGATAATTAATTCTGGGTGTAGTATAAAAAGAATACGATGAAGAAAGATCAGATTCAGAATATGGTACTAGGCTCTCCTACTATAATCAAAGTATACATTTTCATCACTCTTTTTTTTTTTTGAAGAACAATTAGTATTTAAAATTCAGCCAATTTAAATTATATGTTTCTCTCTCATACACACTAACTCTTTTTCCACAACAAAACTGTACACACCTACTGAAGGCCCCATCAAGTTCTACAGGACTTCATCCCAGTTAAGAGTAAACAAGGGCGATGCACTAGCCACTCCCAGTTTTTCTAAGGACTTGCATTCAAACAAGGGAAAGGGCTGAAAGTCCAACATTTCAATAAGGGCATAATACATTCTTATTGTTCTTACTTCATGTGGAACTTCCTGCAGACGATCAAGAGCTCTGATATGATCCAGTGTATCTATAGATGGAGAAAGACCACCATGGAGACAGAATATCTGAAGAAGAGATAGAAACAGGATTAAATTATATGATTAACAAAGAGTAATTTTGTTTGTTGATATCTAGCATCAACTGTTGCTCTATTGTACCATCTTGTATTTAGACAATGCACTTGTATGTACGTATCTCCCCTTGGATTAAAACTGAGAAAGAAGAAAAAAATTAGTACTAAAAATTAAAATCTTCTGAATCTGAGGTCTCCTAAAACATATTTTTTCAATGGAGTATTTGGACATACACAAAATCATGGTTTTGTGCCAGGAACAGAAGTTGCAGTGAACCTTGCAACTTTCCACATTCTGCTGATAGAGACTAGAGGCTTCTGGATGTGTTTAATTCTGCTAAGGGCTGAATCTACATGAGGACTGTGTGCCAACTCCACTGACTAATATCCCTGCCCCAGTTTGACCCCTTTACTGCCACACACACCTGTTTTAAACCGAACTGAAATTAGTTTAGAAAGCCACATGGAACCCCCATTATGTAGTCACATTGGTGCAAAGGACTGTTTTTGGACTGTATGCACATGTTCACCATATCAGTTTATATGTGGTCACATGACCACAGCAGATATGAGGGTTTTTAAAATTTCTGTCACACATGTGCATATTCACTTAATCAAATAGCCTCTCTCTGCTTTCTTTTCCATTTGTGTTCTATAAAGTGAAGCCAGCAGAGCAGGGGGGAAAGACAACAGCACCTTTTCTGGACGCCAATACAAACAAGGTCAGGTGACCACCCACCAACCTGGCCTCACCCTCCTCTACCCTCAATTCAATTGTAAACTCAATTTGGGAGTCAAACCACACATTAAAAAAACAAAAAACGATTCTTCTCAAAAACAGCAGAATAAATTGCCTTAAATTTCTTGGGCATAAGTGTCTTCAGATCAAAAGGAGAAGAATGTTGTGTATTCCAACAGGATTGAGATCAAGGTAAGGATGTGCTATTTAGCTTGTGTAGATTCAGCCAAGATTAATCACAGCCTACTACACTGAAACAAGTGAACTTTAAGCCATCATTTATGAAGGTGGCTTTTTACACTAACCATGGTAAAAATCAGTCAAGAGTTTGTCCTGGTCCAAACACTGACAGCTAAAATGGAAGTGGAAGCTTCCAGTTGCTCCCATGTAGATGTATTATAATTAGAAGAACTGAATGGAGTGCAGCCACTAAAGGCTTCCTGAGGCCCATCTCATAATGCTACTAGATAAAGCAACACTAGACATAAGAATATCTAATGTTTCACTTTTGCTATTTATGACATACATTAAGGAGTTTATTCAATATCACTGCTGTTCATAGAATCATAGAATCATAGAAGAGTTGGAAGAGACCACAAGGGCCATCCAGTCCAACCCCCTGCAATGCAGGAAATCCCAATCAAAGCATCCCTGACAGATGGCCATCCAGCCTCTGCTTAAAGACCTCCAAGGAAGGAGACTTCACAACACTCCAAGGGAGTGTGTTCCACTGTTGAACAGCCCTTACTGTCAGGAAGTTCCTCCTAATGTTGAGGTGGAATCTCTTTTCTTGCAGCTTGCATCTATTGTTCCGGGTCCTAGTTTCTGGGGCGGCAGAAAACAAGCATGTTCCCTCCTCAATATGACATCCCTTTAAATATTTAAACAATATTTAAACACATATTTATTTGTGTGCCTTCAACTTGTTTCCAATTTAGGGTGACCCTATCAGTTTTTTTTCTTGGTCAGATTTGTTCAGAGGGAGTTAGCCTTTGCTTCAATGGCTGCACAGGGATTCAAACCCTGGTCTCCAGAGTCGCAATCCAGCGCTCAAACCACTACACTATGCTGGCTCAGTATCAAATATCCTACTCACCATATACATTAAAAAATAGTACACATGCATCTAATTATCTTCTGAGAATTATCTTCTGGAACTGCATTCAGATAATATCAAACTATGGTTTGTTACGATGTCCAAGTTTAAATCAGCTTACGTATGGTAGTTTACAAGGAGCTGTCAAGCCAAGGTATCAAACTGGTATGATAATGGTTTGCAAGACATAATTTGTGCCAGCAATAAACCATGGCTGGATAGCCATCTGTTGGGGATGCTTTGATTGGGAGTTCCTGCATGGCAGGGGGTTGGACTGAATGGCCCTTGTGGTTTCTTCCAACTCTATGATTCTATGATTCTATGGAAATTTATACCAGGAGCCCTGGTGGCACAGTGGTTAAATGCCTGTACTGCAGCCACTCACTCATAAACCACAAGGTTGTGAATTCAATACTAGCCAGGACTCAGGCTTGATTTAGGCCTGCATCCTTCCAAGGTCGCTAAAATGAGTACCCAACTGTTACAGTTGTAAACCCCTTAGACACTGTACAGCGTGATATGAAGTGGTATATAAATGAAGCTGCTTTTGCTTTAATCTATACTAGACTGCTGATCATGCGAGTTCTTAACTATGGTTAGCACAAAAGTACTGCATGACCTTTAAAATGAGACCATTATTCCAAGACTGATTCATTTTGTGGCCACTGGCACATTAAGTTATGGATCATTTTTCATCAGTTTCTTACATGATTAATGTTCGGCAGTTAGAACTGGGATAACCAGCTTTACAGAATGCAAGCGTTATTTACTAGCATCTAGTAATATCACACAAATGGGGGGGGGGGGAGTGATTACCTGTCCATCTACTAGAGCTGTAAGAGGCAGATAGTCGAACAGATCTGTGAAATACTTCCAAACATTGGCATTTCCATATTTCCGTAGACATTCATCGTAGAAACCATATACTTGTGTAATTTGTCTGCTTTCATGGTTGCCTCGTAGAATTGTAATGCGCTCTGGGTAACGCACCTAGCCACAGAGGACACAGACAATGTAACAGTCCAACAGCTGGGTACATCAGTTATGTTCTAAGTAACATAAAGGCTCCCACATTTGGAAAAAAAAATGACTGTAATCTAGAAGTTAACTTCCCTGATCCTTAAATATCTATAAAACATACCTTTAGGGCTACAAGCAGAGTCACAGTTTCCACTGAATAGTAGCCTCTATCGACATAATCTCCCATGAAGAGATAGTTTGTGTCTGGTGATTTCCCACCGATTCTAAAAAGCTCCATAAGGTCATGGAATTGACCATGGACATCTCCACAGACTGTAACAGGACATCGTACTTCCTGAACATTGGACTCTTTTGTAAGTATTTCTTTAGCCTGATAACATGAGGGAGGGGGAGAGGGGGACCAAACAAAAAAAGTTGGTTAGATGAAGCTAAACTGCATGAATTCAGTCAAGTCATACAAACAAGAAGAAAATCCACTGCAAGATTAAAATGATCCTGTGATCAGCATGTTGAGTTATAGGAATACATATTTAAATCTTTTTTTTTAAAGCAAGCTAAAGACTCAAGGATATAAAATAAGACCATGATTTAAACACACACAAAGAAGCTCCAGAGATGACAATTGCCTTTAACTGATAGCAAGGCTGGACCAATCTAAAGAACTGAAAATATGAACAGGTATTGTGTGTCCCCTCACCCCCACAGCTGGTATCTGCTAACTGATGGCACTTTTCTTTCTACATGAGAAAAAAGCTGGATATAATTTACATAAAATAAATAAATAAATAAATAAATAATATAATATAAAAGTTAGAACAGAGAGGGCAGTAAATGGCGCAGTGGTCTGAGTGTTGGACTACAACTGTAAAGACTAGGGTTCAATCCCCTGCTTGGCCATAAAACTCTGGTTGACCTTGCGCAAGTCACATGCTCTTAGCCTCAGGGGAAGCAATGACAAACCTCTGAAGAAAGTTGCCAAGAAATCCGTGTGATTGTTGGGAAATGTATATATAAAAACTGTATTGGTTGTGTTGTATATATGTGTGTGTATAGATAGACAGACGGATTGTGTTATATGTATTAGGTGAGTATGAGTTTTGGTACTGTTTTCAAAGAACAGTTGGGAGGAGTTTTACTGCAGTTGCCAGGCAGAAATCAAAAGGTTACATTACAGTTACAGGCATAAAAACAAAAGGTTGTAGTACAGTTACCAGGCAGAAATCAAATGGTTACCTTGCAGTTACCAGGCAGAAGTCAAAATGTTACATTGCAAACAGGCGGGGCTAGGTGGCTCCAGTCTATATATAGTGACAAGAGGGCAGGGAAGTTTAGTACCAACCTTAACGCTGGCTGATCAATATTGTCCTTGGGCTGCAATAAAGTCTTTTTGTTCTTTCACCAAAACTATTGTCTGAGTCCTTGGAACAGAGATGATTGGTAATGACAGCTGGACCAGGAAAAAAATGGGTAAGAAAAAAATCAACTAATTTGAGATTTGAGATGTGACTCAGCGGGTGGGGCT